TACACAAGCTTTAGGGCCCCCCGGATATATAAATACCATCATTCAACCTATTCTAGTGCAGCAAATAGGGGCCTCAAATGGTTTGTTGATGGAGGACCCCCAGCCGTTTCGGTACGCTACTGAAATTGCTAATAAGATGTGTTTTTTTAATTTGCTACCTTTGGCATTAACTTAACTCATGCCCTATTTAAAAGAGACTACTCTGTATTCTAGGATTGTTTGAAGGGACAATACGTGGTGATAACTGTTAAGACAAAAGATGAGGGGCCGGTTGACTCTGATTGGCAAATTCCGTCCTAAATTACAGTTAAAATTTAACGATAATCTTTTACGAAACTATTTGAAACTAAAATTTTCTAGTACGGAATTTTAAACTAGGTCCTAGTACTTATACTTGCTTGGACGCCAAGCTCGTTTATATAACAAGCCACTGAGCCATATATAGCATAAAATGTTATCCAACTTCGCCCCCTTCCCTGATTTCCTATTCGCAGAGGTTGGCTCACTTGGCTAATTTAGGGAGATGAATTTCCTTTCTACTTGTAATCCTCAAGAACGACGTAATTTTCACATTATTCATATGGACATTTCACCTTAATCCAAATCCGAATCGCCAAACAAAACAGGGACAAAATTTTCTATCGCCTTATGATCAGCTAAATTCTTTTAAATCCAAGAGCAAATTCGATTAACTCATTCCTAAACAACTTATTCTTTTTTTTTACCAATGAAGTTTTAAATAAAATTCGAGGAATTTAATTTAAGATATAATTATAATGAATAAAAAGAATAACTCGCGCATTGTGAGGATTCCTCCTTGACATATAGATTTTTCTTTTCCAACTTTCTTTCTAAGATTTTGTCCTTTCACAGAACAGTATGGTCTTTTTCCTCGCCGATGACACGTTGTTACAAAGACGGGCGGGAGAAACAAGCGGAGACGCAACGCCCCAATCAGCCACTTCAAATTATCGCTTTGAGAAAGGTTTTTTGAGCGCAACTCCCGCAAATGCGACTAGTTGGTTTGCAGTCTGAGTCAATAATGAAAAACATGGATTGTTACGTAAACTAATGAGTTAATTCGCGATTGATGATGTCATTAATATTACAGCGTGCGCAACAACCTCGTACCCAGGCGCGCAAATCCCGATCGACTTTTTCATAGATCCCGGTAATTTTTAAATGCCCCACAGAATTTCTTGACAAAAATAGATGCACATTACTCACATTTCACACCGTTTACGGTTCTTTCAGCCAATAAATCGTTTTGAGTTTGTTTAATTTTCTTTATTCCAAAATGATAAAATGGAAATTGTAATCACGTGTTTGATTTCACACCAAATTGGACTCCACTCAGTGCAATTACCATTATTAATTATATCAGTTCACAACAATGTGTAAAGGTTAGTTTAAAAATTCCTCCGCCTTTTTTGTTCTACAAAAATTACATTTTGTGAAAATTACACTTTGATACATTCGCACCTTTTCAGTTCTATAACGTAGCGCATAGGTACAGTCCTCTTCTTTTACCTTCGGCATTAGTTGGTGTAAAGGGTGATTCGCTAGTTTCATTCTATTCATGTATTTTTCGCAAATTGTAGTTCTTCTGTCAGGTAGTTTTTCAATTCCAGCTAGTTTTAGCACTTTTGGATACAATTCAGCATATTGGAATTAAGGCTCTTCAGAGCTCTTTTCTGGATGGATTCTATATAGCATAGCAGACAAGTCTTTTGAAAAAATTGCCACACGGGGACGGTGTATTCCATTCATTATTGGTCGAATTGTAGCTAGGTATACCGTTACAATAATTGAAGGAGCAACGCCAGCTTTACTTGAAAATTCGTAGGGAATAGAGTCTTTTGCATGCTGTTTTATAGATATGGTCTTCGTTCACACGGTATCGGATTTGGTCGTCACGACATCTTCGTTTGCCAATATAAAGCAACGATTAATAGCAAATTCTTTTTAATTTGAGAGATTTGGTATATTTATTCAGATCTCGGACATTAAAGATCTTAGTAACTGTTCCGATAACAATCCGGTACCACATACTAGACTGAGAAAATTGCGCCCGCTTTAAATGAGCAACAAAAATTATAATTTAATATTACAATATCGCGTAATTTGAGTACTTTGAGTAATTTCCTGTTTGATCAATGGTAATGTTTAACCATATTTTTACTGGCATAAGTCAAAACGTTTATGTTGGGACAAATGTCTGGTTGCTTAGCACTATATATCTAAATTTGCACTATCCTTGGATCCCTAGTTCTAAGTTTTTGAACGTTTAAGACGCGTTAGAGTAAATACCTAGCAATGTCTAGAACTAAAATACAATCATTTGGTACGAAAAACAGAGAAAAAACTTAGTTTTTTGCTTCAATTTATCGCTTCAACAATTAAAGTACCACGCTATGTGAGGTAGCGTTCCCAGTTTTATTGCAGTTCACCAGGTAGATACGATAAAGATATCTTTTATTTCTTAATATTACCATAGATAAAAGTTGGACAGATTCCCATCTCAGTAATAAAAATGCCCCAAGCTAGGCATCCGTTTTGCTGGCAAGTACGTGTTTATTGTGTGATATTGATTGCTTAACATCAAGCCGCTAGCTGGATTCTGGAAATAGCCAGAAACACTCGCTGAATCGTTATTATCAGTTGGGCAGAATTTAAGTTAATTTTTCATTACACAGGTCGCTTGCAACAATTGCAATCAAGAATTTTGAAAAGAATTTGTCCATAAGCTTTTCTGTATTTGATATGCCTCATTCCGTAGATGAAAGCGTTCACGATCGAGTTTATGCCAAAAAGCTCGTAGTGAACAAACACGTTCCAAACATACCAACATGAATCACTACAAAACACGTGTAACACGGTTGTAATAACTGTTGGTGAAAAGCAACAGATCGCCAACACTGTAATAACAAAAGAAAATGTTTTTGCCTCTGCAAACGCCTGATATAGACGAAGTACAACTCTCATACTGCCTGAATGTTCGTTGTGGTTGCTGATGCCTGCGACCATGGATTCGTCAGAGATTCTTCGGCGTTGTTTTCGAGAAACACTTAAAATTCGGAAATTCAGAAGAAAAATGAAAGAAAGAGGAATGTAGACAAAAGAAACCAATACAAATTGCCGGATGTTAGGAGGCAGGGTTAAGCGGCAAATACTTCTGACTCCATTGTCGACGCTAAAAAAGTGAAAATAAAATATAACACAAAAACAACAAGCAGTTAACCAGATTCCAGAAATAACCAGGAACACTCGTCGACGTGTCACAATCAGAGGATATTTAAGAGGTTTCACGATGTATAAATAACGATCAACAGTAATTGCGAGAATTGTAGCGACTGAAGCAAACAGCAAAGACAAGATCGTGGCACGACTTAACTTACAAAACATGTCCTGATCACTCTCAATGTTTAATATAGTCTGAATTAACTCGATGATCCATAGTGGATAAAATATTAAACACACGAGAAGATCCGCTAATGCCAAGTTTGCTATCAAGTAAGATGTCGCTGTCTTTTCTTTACACAACAAAATTGTGTATATTATAACTGTAACATTTCCCAATACTCCAATAATCATTGCGATAAATTTTAAAACAACTGAAAATATGAGAATACTGCTTGCAACTGGAACGATAAGTGTGCTGTTAAACATTTTCGGCTTTATTTTCGTTGTATGCCTGCATGTCAATAACGGGGTTGCCACAGTTATGTCACTTTTTAAATATTAACCTGTGCATTGAAGGCAAATTGACGACTAAAATGATAAGTTATAATCTTTTGCAAGGCTAAAAATTAGCATTTGAATAACCGTCATGCATAATTTCTAAGGGAAACTTGTCATTCAAATTCATTATTCATTTAATGACGGTAACACATTGCAGTAGAAACTGACAAACTTGTGGCATATGTGCGTATATGAAAAACGCGTAACTGGCAGCCTTCCAGTCGAGCCAATATAAGCGCTCGGAAAAATGTGGACCAGTTCATTTCCTAACATGTAGGAACACATCTCAATAATTCCTCAACAATTTCAAAAGTTTCTTAAAAAGTTCCTAACTTCCTCTTTTATGGACCAATTTAATATTTTATTTTTGAGCAATGTGATTGGTCAATGCATGAGACAGGAACTTTTTAAGGAACTTTTTAGGAACTTTTTAAGGAACTTTTAAAATTGTTGAGCAATTGTTCAGATGTGTTCCTGTAACTTAGGAAATGAACTGGTCAACGGAACGCTTCTATTGGCACGACTGTGAGGCAAATGTGTCATTCAACATTATTTATAATTAATGGGGGTAACACATTGCAGTAGAAACTGATAAACTTGTGGCTATTTACATTTCAGTAAAATAACTAAAAGTATTAGTACATATATATAAACAATAAAAATATATGTTGAAAAAAACATCACAGTTGTTGTGTACCAGTGACGTGCTTGGCCTCGTGCAGGTAAATTACTTTTAGGCTTTGCCTTTGAATATACACCTGTGCACTGAAGGATAATTGACGCCTAAAATGATAAGTTCTCATCCTTCACAGGCCAAAAAATAACATTTAAATAACCGCCATAAGTGCTTTAAGTTAGGGAAATTAACACATGCACATTTAATACATATAATAATCAAAATGATAAACTCGGTATGTTGTTAAAATTTGGACGAACATGGCAAAAGAGGTAATAAACAATAGATTTTTTGACTATGAACAAACAAACAAACGACTGTGACACTGTGTATTTAGTGAGTCGTAAATTTGGGTAAAATTTGCGCGAAGCTTGTAGACTTAGGGTCATAGGGTGAGTAGGTGATAGCCTGATACCGATAAAATGCCTAACGCAATTGGGACTAAATTCCAGATTATTTCAGTGTTCCGATCTTGAAACACGTATTGTAATGAATATGATCGGTTTAGTGACCCGTATTCATTCTAAAATTTAAATTACATATTTTCAATATTGGGAGCGTTTATCAACTGTTGTGTCTTGTGGTTAAAGAAAGGTTTACGTGAGTTCATTACATAAACAAACCTTTGCATTTAATTTACACCTCTTCGGCAGAAAATTTTAAAGCCGTTTCACATAAAACATACAAAATGACAAGCAAAACCAAGCGACTCGGGTTACCTGTACCACGAGTCCCACTAGTTGCGTTCTGAGAAGATCCCGTAGTGGTGGGTCCGGGGCTCTCACCCGGGGTGGGTTTAGCAGTCCCACCCGTGGTCGGTCTTGAAACCCAAACTGCAAAATGTCCTCCGTTCACCCCGCTAATCTTCGCATGAATCTTTTGAGTCTCAGCATTAATAATCATCACCGTCTTGTTTTGGGTTGCCGGGGAAATGATCCATTCACCAGCAATAAACAAGTCCCTCCATACCCATGGTAATAATGAGCCGTGGTAGACCACGTTTTCGATATATTTCACAACGAAGATTTGTTCATTTTTCGGCAAGTCCATGTCAACGACCGCCATCTTGTCTGCGTAATCAAGAGTAAGGAACATGTAGTAGCTAACTGAGGTTTTGACCTTGGGGTAAAAAACGGGGTTGGATGCACGACCAGGGAAAGTGAGTATCGGGTAATGACTCGCGTTAAATCCTGTCCTGTTCACAGCTAAAATATTTATTCTACTTGCGTTACTCGTGCGATTAAGGAATACAACATAGCGACCATCTGGTGAAACAAACGGATAGCCATGAAAACTCCATTTTTTTGTGGTGTCGCTGACTGTGTCTACTTCGAGTATCGATGCATTTTGATATTCTTTTTTCACACAACCCACATACAAGTGTTTGTTGTAAGAGTTATAGGCAATACCGTGTGTTCCAGTGCAGCCATACCTTGAGAAATTGCGAAATCTTGTGTAATTTTTCGTTTCCAAATTTAGTTCGTGGATGCCAGGATAAGCATTATCTGTGACGAAGGCCGTTTTTCCTTCCAGCATGTCTTTCTCAGAAAGCATTGTATTCCCAGGTGCGTCTAAAAAATTTCAGAAATTTCATACAAATGTTTTCACATGTGATAAGCATAGGCAACCAAGAAATGTTTTCGTTCTCGTGGCCCTCGCGCGTGTACGCGAGTTTACTCGGTCTATTTTTATGGCAATAACAATAATAATATGAACATAGTAATAATGAAATTTTTTAATCACCTGATTGGGGCTGAGCTCGTGAAACACGGGTCCTGGTGCGACCATCAGTCTCAAAGACATCAAAGGAGTAAGTACTTCTATAATCATATAATTGTACCCAGACTTCCTTGCGCCATGGCAAACAGTACAAGCGCAATGGGAACTTGCCTGTCGGGATAGTTTCAATTTTCTTGTGTGTTCTGACATCAATCACGTGCACAGCATCTGCATCATAGTCTGCGATGAAAACTGTGCCGTTGAACACGCAAACTTGACTGAACTTGCAACTCTCTCTAATGAAAAAGGTTTATTATTATCAGATATTGTCTTAAACTCTGCAATCGCATATCTAACAATTATTACAAGACCGAATAAATGTTTAAGATTTGGAGGGGGGGGTGTGAGACTAGAAAGACACTCATGAAAACGGTTTGGTTAACTGACAAAATAATGTAGTAGGACATGCAATAAAAACCCCGTAATGGCCGTAAAATGCGAAAGTTTGAAATTTTTTTGGTATAGTTATAACTATATGATTAGCCATGTCTATCGTTTGGACAAAACGTAGAAATTTTTTTTGAAAATGCTCACAGTTTATGGAGTTTATATATTGTTCGTTATTTTATTTAAATACTCCGTGGCTCCCCTAATTACAGGCAAATTAGTTGGACAAGAAATTTATATTTAAAAAATAGAAAACATTTTCCGTGTTTCTATACAGTTATAGAAACACGTGTGGGATTTTTGGAGAACTATGAATATTAATAATCATTGTGATTACTTTTATCAACTCAAACACATCAGTAGAGGGCTTCGATGTTTTTAAGACGCGCTACATACAGGAGGAGAGGTTTAAAGACAAGACAGGGCAGGACAGGACTTTAGCAACACTTCGAACCAACCTGTGTTGCTTCTTGCTACACAACCCTGGTGCTGCTGCGTTGGTTATTTTAGCAACAACACTTTTCGCCACTGGATCTATCACGTAAATACCATCACTCCCCAGAACATAGAAATCGCCTGTTTCCGCCGAGGCAAAATCACGCAGGAGATAACCTGGAGAGAAATTAATATTAATAGCTACACTTTTATGAGGCTTATATTTTGAATATTAAACCCTTCATTCCTTGTTCCCCTATCTGATTTTAACATTTCATTTAATTCAAAACGGTAAAGTTATAATTCCTCTCTAAATCAAACTTAACAAGATAGGTCGTTAGTGTAACCTGGAGTTGAAACATTACCAGAAATTTGTGACATGACGATTTCCATTGTATACTGACTCGCATTTAAATTTTTACATTATGGCATACAACTTTCACTATAAAATACATATATTAAAAGTACAAAACTTAAGATCGCCGTTGCACATTGTAAAAATCAAAGAATTTAAGAAAATTTTGATAAGCAAGAAGAAATTTCATATAAAATGAAAGCACTGTTAATGGCATTGAGACGCTGGAATAGAAAGTGGTAAAAAATAAATAAGGCTATAATTATAAATCTTAAAAAACAGACTGAACAGTTTAATTTACGTCCCTAATTTACCAGTTTACCTGGCGACTGCATGACTTGTCAACTGTTCTCTCTTGTATTTTTGTCATACGTCGTACTAGTTTGTCTTACTATGTAGTTTTAAGCCTGTCGCACACGAAAGTTAAGCTGAGCTGCTGGGCTAGTTATAGTCACGTGAAAAAATTGATGAGACAATCACATAAATGACCTGCTCCCCTTAAAATCAATGTTGCAAGGATGCGTATAGGGAAAAATTGGCAACATCGACTATAGGGGGCAGGGGGGCGCGATGCATTTCAAAAATGATAGAAAATCTGAAAAGTCTCATAATTTTTGCACGTGATTCTAGGTTCTTCAAATCACTCAAGCAAGTTCCTCCAGTATACGGCGATGGTTTGCGAACTTTTATTCGCGCGCGTGCCGTTTGCGGATATTCAATGTTGCGCACCAGTGCATAATTCTCCCACGTGTGCGAACAATGAGAGCACATTTCCGCTATAACAAGGCAATATACATATACAAACTTGCATATGTTTTCCAATTTGCATAGATAATATAGCTTTTTTGCTGCAGAATTTTTCGGCACGCGTCAGCAAAAGCTCCCAGAACGTCGCCGGACACTGGGGGAACTTGCTTCAGCTAATGTTCACAGTGACTTTTAGCACAGCAGATAGCTCTCGTGTGCGGCAGGTTTATTGGATTAAAGTAATGCCTGCAGCAACTCTACTTTGCATGTACTCCAGTATAATTTTATGACTGACTGGTGTCGATCAGTAAAATGTTTTTACATTCTCTACCTTAATAATGGTGTTTACAGCAACGCCAAACCGCTACTAACTTTGTGTTCAATAACTACACTATCCTAAAGTGTGCAGCAATTTTTTTAATTCATAAGTGTTCTCATGTAAAACTCGGAATATTATGCAGTCGCACTGTGAGTGCATGCAGTCGTTCAAGCATTAACTTTTATACGGCAAACGTTATAAAGACAAACCGCTAATCTGAATTTACTGCTTTGCCAAATACATTAGCAATGGCCTTTGCTCTCTTACATCGCTGCTGAGTATCAGAGTTTTATGTAAAACGTTTATTATTTTACGAAATTGTAAAATTGTTGCACACTCTAAAAGAGAGTGACTTTTAGTGTAGTTAAAACACAAAGTGGTTTGGCGTTTGCCGTAAACACCAAGAATCCTAACCCTAAACACTCTAAGCTAAGGTCTCTATTATATACTGTCCCACCTACAATAGTTATACATGACATGTTTTCTCATTTGGAGCCACTCATCAGGGAACATGACTCGTCGAGGTAAAAACACTGTATTTGCATCTTTAACAAAGATGTTCACTTAACTAAGCTAGTGTTGGTTTTTCGACATTTTTGTTCACTTACTGTAAATAACGGCCATTATTGAAAGCCAAACATGCAGCGCCATAACGATATTTAATATGTTGTATTTCAGCTAAGGTCTTCCGCGAAGAATTCAGAACGATTCGAACCAACAATTTTTTTTATGCACAGAAATCTCAAGAATGACGTCCACTTATCTATAATAACAGGATGTTTTATACTTGTCTATTATGTATTTCCCGTGAGTATGTCCTTTGAGTTTACGTTCCATTGGGCAATATTAGACATTCGGTTCCGCTGACGTTGATATGTTATGTTGGTTCAGTGTTTTGCAGCTGCTAGTCTCCTATCAAAGACCGGTTGTATAAAAAGTCGTTAGCTTTAACTATGATTAGTTTACTAAACGACTTAAGTCGCGTTTACACTTCAGGCCTTGACCTGGCCTGGACCAGGTCTATGACAAGTCTAGGTAATATGTGCCACGTTCCCACTGTCTTCCTTGTTGATGATATCAGATAGCCAAAGTAATTGACAATATACTTGGAAAAAGACCCAAAACACGCCGAAAAGTGGTAATACTATATGTATCCTATACAAATCATACTATTAAGTTCAATATTTGCCAAGGCTAGGTAAAGCCTGCTGGTCCAGGCCACCTTCTGCTGTTGGCCTGGATTTTGTGGCCTAGACCAGGTCCAGGCCTGGTCTAGGCCGGATAAACAGCGTTCACATCTAGGCCTAGGCTTAGTCCAGGCCAGGTCAAAGCACGTAGTGTAAACGCAGTTTTAAAGTGCATATCAACCTTATTTTATTATCGGCCGATTTGGACTTGGACCAACAGTCTCCGAGGTATTCTTGAACAAGTCAATTTTCCCCGCTTCTCGTGTTCATTTCTGCACGGCATTGTGATTGCTGGAGGACTGGGGCATGCGCATAGCGTTTCATTCACCTCAATAAAATAAATGGTAATTGGAGATCTTTGTCGAAAGAAACTGCGTATTTTTTACATTCTATTGCATGTGGAAAGTCAAATTCCGGATCAGACGTATACGTTCATCTTCATGTTCTGAAGATCGAATAGAACAGGAACGTGAATATTTATTCTAAAATTCTAAAATTCTCGAAATTCTATTTTAAAAAGCCTCAAGATCATGCAAGTTTCTTCAATATAGGTACAAGAAGAAAAGCTTTTCATGCTTCGGGAACGTAATTGTTGTTATCACTGACAGTTTTTAACGCGTAATTTTAATAACCAGGTTCGAATTGGATCAAATTTGCAGGCGGTATTTGATGACTTATCATATCGCGAATTTCTTCTTCTGCTAACTCACGAAATGCTGTCAGTTCAGCTGTTGGTGACAATAGATATCATCAACCCAGGGACGTTTTACCACAATTCTGTCAATTTCAGTTCTGATTAATTTAATCTTACGGGTGAAAATCGCCAAACTCGTTCACAATAGCTGACCTTAGTTTGTTGAGGCAGGGGATTTTCATTAAAAAGAGAAGACGCTACTTTGAAAACTTTTCGAGTAGCCTGAGCACTGGTTAATGAGTTCTAAGATAAAGAGTGCGGGTAATTTTATTAATGATTGTTTAAATTCCATTTAAATTTCAAACAACGAATGGCATGAAGCAGCAAACCAACTGCATTACAATAATTGAAATTTTATTCCAAAGCGCAAAAACTCAATTATATATTCGCGACTATAGACTATAGAAATCAAGAGTGGAGGGACTACCTCGATAAAAATATTGATTATTAACCTATGAACTATACTAATTATGATTTTTGGCACTTCACTCCATGCAGGTACATTCTAGAGGTTCAAAGGGTCTTCATTTCGAGTGGAATTATACACACTTCAAATTTGAAAAGTGGATATAATTCCACTCGAAATTAAGACCATTTGAACGTCTAGTATAAATGATTCTCAGAACTAAAAAGTAAATGAATCGTAAAAAACTAAAAGTATATTGATCGGTAACGAGCAGAATCCAAGAAGGTTTTCATAACACTAACAACAACGATTAGATGCAGTTTAGAATTTTGAAAAGAATTTGTCCATAAGCTTTTCTGTATTTGATATGCCTCATTCCGTAGATGAAAGAATTCACGATCGAGTTTATCCCATAAAATTCCAACTGAACAACCACGAACCAAACCAGCCGGCAAGAATCACTACAAGAATAGCGTAACACAATCCCGATAATTGTTGGTAGAAAGCAACAGACGGCCAACACCGTAATAACAATAGAAAATGTTTTCGCCTCTGCAAACGCCTGAAATAGACGAAGTACAACTCTTATACTGCCTGAATGTTCGTTGTGGTTGCTGATGCCTGCGACTATAGATTCATCAATGATTCGTTTGCGGTGTTTCCGAGACACACTTACAATTCGGGAATTCAGAAAGAATATTGAAGTAATAGGAACATAGATTAGAGAAACTACAACAGAATAATAAATACTTTGAGCTTGACGGCAAAGACTTCTGATTTTATTGTCAAAACTCGAATGGTCGACATAAAATATAACACAAACACAACAAGCAGTTAACCAGATTCCAGAAATAACCAGGAACACTCGTCGACGTGTCACAATCAGAGGATATTTCAGAGGTTTCACAATGTATAAATAACGATCAACAGTAATTGCGAGAATTGTAGCCACTGAGGCAGACAGAAAAGACCAGATCGTAGAACGACTTAACTTACAAAACACGTCCTGATCATTCTCAATGTTTAATATAGTCTGAATAAACTCGATGATCCATAGTGGATAAAATGTTAAACACACGAGAAGATCCGCAAATGCCAAGTTTGCTATCAAGTAAGATGTCGCTGTCTTTTCTTTACACAACAAAATTGTGTATATTATAACTGTGACATTTCCCAATACTCCAATAATCATCGCGATAAATTTGAAAGCAACTGAAAAGACAAGAACACTGCTGGCAACTGGAACCAGAATTGTGCTGTTAGTCATTTTTAATTTTTAAACTATAATGACATTAAAATGTCGTTGCTTGTATACCAGTGAATGACAGAGTTTACCACAATTACGTTACTTTGAGTTTAAATATATATGTTCACCTGCGCATTGAATTAAGAATGAGAAGAAAATAATAGTTTTAATAAGTCAATGACAATTAAATCTCACAATAAATTGAATAGTTTAACTGTTTTGGCCGTATTCTTCCCAAGATGTACCGTAAAAACACAAAACTATTGAAATAAGCTTTATAGCTTTCAGTCTGCATACACTGTGAATAAATACGGGCAACAAACGGATCATATGTTATAAGACGAACAAATCTGCGACTTTCACCCGAGTAGATTTGCAATAAGAGTTGCAGCTGCTTCAATTAAGAAGATCTCTTTCGGAACATCAAACCTTATAATTCTAAATATGTATACAAAACGGAATAGGTTACTGTTTTCATTTTGAAAAAAACATAAGCTAAATATATTCTAAACGAATTTTGAATATGAGAATACAGGGAGATTAGTTTATTATGCTTAGCATAGCATGGAGTAAAAAGTTGAATTTTTTAGCTTGACAAAAGCACAGCGTATAAACGGCCATGATGCACGCTCCTCCCGCGTACTTACATTAGCACTTGCAAATTTCCTCCTTTCGAGAATATAATTAATAAGTTAAATAATAAATTTGTAAAAACACCACATGTGTATTTATTACATGCAGAGCTTTTGGTCGTTAATTGAATTGATGAAGCTGCTGCATATCGCAATATTAAAGGTCGGGGTTAACGGACCAAAGTATATAATATAAAAGCTGTATACATGCACGTGGTGTCTCACAAATTGTTCAAATACGGGCAACAAACGGATCATATGTCCGAGTAGATTTGCAATAAGAGTTGCAGTTGCTTCAACAAATGCACGTGGTGTTTTCACAAATTGTTCATTTAGATAATCACTTAGTTTCGCGTAGAGTTAATAAAGAAGCGCTGATTAGTTAAAAAAGTAATTTTCTCCTAATTGAATCTGCTGAATGGCGGCTGCCTCCAATATTCACACTCTAGCAAAAGTAAACATATTTGCCATCTAAATGTAAACTTTAATTTTGGTATTACCGAGTTATTTAAAGAACATTAAAAAACGCTGCAAAAACATCGCAGATTAACCGTTAAAACGAAGGTTATTTCTAAGAGAGGAAAGAGGAGTCTCTGAATCATCGATTGCGGATTGCCATGCATACCCATATGAGCTCGATCGAGTACAAAAAATTTGCGTGCAGTCGCTCAACTTTGATCGAGTGCACAGTATTCACAGTATATTCATAGACGCGTTTGCGCAATGGTTGCAAATGCGCGACCGCAAATTTGCCGAAATTTCGCATGTTTTGGAATTTTCTGGACAGGTTTTAGCTGATATTCATTTAGGACTACCATGCAGTAGCGAACCAATGTTTGAGATACGCAGACATCTTCAACGAAGCTAATGTTGGGTTTGGACATCATGAAGCTCTAATGTTGGGTTTTGGTTTAGACACAAATTCTATTCTGTTTCTACGTTCTTACCCACCAAACAACATCAGTAGCGTAGCCAGCCTGAGATTTGTCCCGCTATGCTAATATTTTGGTGTTCACTGACTGTGAAAACAATAGGATTCTAAAGACATGAATAATTATAATAACTCGAAATTTACATAGCGGGACAAAATCGTCAGGCTGGCTACGCCACTGAACAACATAGTTGTTAACTTACGGCGAATAACCAGTATCGGAAGCAAAACACGCAGCGCCATATACATATAACGATATATAAACGGTGGCGTAGATCGCCTTACGATTTAGTCATGTTATGCGAATTTTACTTTATCATCGTTATTCGCTTCTTTAGAAATTCATTTCACTTTTTGCAAGTGCCACAGCGGCCCGATCGGGTGACAGACCGCAGTATAATAATAACTCATACTACGACGAGCGCTGATAGAAGAATGCCCCTGCGATTGGGCTACTTTGGAAGTGGTCGAATTCATAGAGTAGGGCCAAATAACGAAGCCAAGCACATACCGGTATTCAGCTGAAATACAAGGCGAAATACTCGACTTTAGTGTTAGTGCAGTGCATAAAGTTCCTTATCGCGCAGAGCAAATCAGTCAGCAATATTCAGAAACGCAAGAAAAACAGGTATAAAATCAAGTTTGAGCTGCT